AGCCACAATCGATGAGTTTTTTTGAATTATTTTCGGGGCCGTACTTTGTCGAAGGCTTTAGGTAAGTCTAGGAATATAACGTCCACGCTATACTGCATGTCTGCTTCTTTAGTTCAATCCTTACCAATCCAAATTTCCAGGACGTGTAGACCTGGACCTCATGTTTGTCCTGCTTCTGGCTCGACCTCGTCAGTAAACCGAGCGATCTGTATGTTTGTCCGGCTTACAACACTATTGATAGTTCTGCGACCGTTTGAGGATGAGATTAAGATGTAGTAATTGTCGCACCTGTTTTCGGTAAGGCTAAAAAAGAGAGGGAACATTCTGTCTTCTCACCGTATCGGTGACAGACACGTAAAATTAACCGTAAGCGTTCCTGCGTGAGTATGTTGTGCATGTGACTTGATAAGTATCTAGGTTTAGTTGCCTCCTCTTGAGTCCTCATATGAACAGCTTTATATATGTACTCAAAAAACAAAAAACAAAAATATTTTTATTGTTTTGCTTTTTATTATTTATTTTACCGTAGCCCTTCTTAGTTATTCTTTGCCTGCCCATTTACTATAGCCCATTGTTACGTTTACTATTAATGATGCCAGAATAGCCCCCGGGCAAGAAGATATATTGCCCGTCCAGTTTTCTCTGATTTACCAGTTGCATCTTCCAAGAACAGAAAACAAGAAACCATCAAGGATCCGGGACCATTGGGCGCCAGCCTCGAACCCGAGAGTCACTTCAAGACTTCAATACATGCGCACCACGTTATGTCAAACGTGGGGGTAGGGAGAAGAAAAGAAGGAGCTTATGTTTTAAGTTACCTCTGGAAAGATCTCGGCCCATTCCATCTTAAAGGCTTGCACTGTGTTCAGTTGAGCGAGGCTTCCGGAAAGGCGATTCTAGAAGTTGACCACCCTGATGGTGAAGAAATGTTTCCTCTCGTTCAACGTGTGTGCCAGGGCCTTTGAATTTCGGGCGGGCTTTTCGAAATTGGACAACTATTCAAGTGTTTTGCAGTGGATACTATTGACCATACACTTTCACATCAATTCACCAATTTTTTCAAGGTCAGATGCTGACCTACAACTTCTGCTTTGTGAAATCTTTCTGTTTTCACGAATTATGTTGAGATTTGAGGGTATTCTCATTCCGTGAGGAATCGTTACAAACGGTTGAGAAATAGACGTCAACGTAATCATAAAAAGCATCGCGCGGAATAGCAATTGGCGCTCCGGCGAAGTTCCACCAACAAGATGACCATTCTGTTCACTTGTTCCTGTAACATTCGCGCACATGTAGGAAAAATCGATGAGGTCCAGAATCTGATGCAACAGAAAAAAATGCAAAAGTGTGAGAGGCATTGTACATCAGGAAAGCTGGTTGCACCCAGATATTAAGGATGATGTGGTCGGATTAGACGGCTTTGATATTTTCAGGAATGATTAAATTGTGAAATTTCGCAAAAGAGGCGGCGGAGTGGTCAATTTCGTAAATCGAAGTTGGTGTTAGAACACTCCTTTGATTTTTCCTACTGAACGGGTAAAATTAACTGTACTTTTGTTTGCTGCAAGCCCCGCTTTCTCAGCAGGTTTCGCTTTGTTTACTTTGTGATTATCTATATTGCCTCTGATACACTCGCCCCCGACTTAAGACTATTTCTGATACTGTCGTGACGCAATGCGCCAGTTGTATTTACCAGTCCCTATGTATTACCGCTGGTGACATCAATCGCTTTGATACCTCCTTTCTAATCACTCTAGGCCTAGAGAACATTGTTAATTTTCCTACCCGTACCGATGCCTTTCTGGTAGTGGCGAGGCATCCCAACTATTAGGATTTCTAAAAACGATCGATTTTTAAATGTATTTTAAGAAAAAGCGATGTCGAATTCAGCCGAAATGAAACAGATTTTGCTTTTAGCTGATTCTCAGTGATTTGTTAAAATTTAATTTGTTTTAATTAACCCTAATTGACTTTGTTCGGAAAGTAAAAATACCGCAACCTAATGGCAACGATCACTTCCACGCTCATATCACTCATGGCTCATGTTGACGATACGGTCGTTTTTGAACGGATGGTAAAAAATTGCTGTGGATCGTTCGACGGATTCTTGGAGGACTTTCGTGAATTCCAAAGAGTTACTTGCACTTCCTCCTACGCTTATGCGTCAATGACAGCCAAACAACTGATATGGGAAAGAAAGTTTGGTCGGAAACTGACACTGCCAGAGCGTTTTTCGTTTTATTTCATCAAATATTGGCGCAACGCAACTACAATCAGGTAATTATGCCTCTCATTTCCAATATAACTAACCCATTTAAGGCTGCAGAATATCGTTTGTCCGGCATTTGTTGGAATTCGCGCGGGCGGGAGGGAGTACCGAGTGATGAAACGTTGTCTGGTGCACAATCTTGACTTCTATGTGGGTCAGCGGGGTCTGTATGTAGGTAATTGTCGTCTATCTGGAGAACAGGAAGAGGAAGTGTGCACGTTGATAGACAATTTTAGAAGTACTCACGAGCTAAGCCATGGGGTGTGGGGTGGAACATTTTGCCTAGAACACAACATTCGGTTGCATTCAAAGGCAGAGTCTACCTTACCATCCACGCCGAGTGCCTGTCTAAGTCATATTGTATTGATTGACGACTGGACGAGCCGCCAACTATTTTGACTTTGTCTGCGTAGATGAGGCATGAATTTTCCACCTTTTCGACAAGGCTGTTGATAAGAGAAAGAGGAGTGGTCCTATTATTGATCCTTGGGGGACACCACTAGTCGCTTTCCCTTCGCTGAAGATCTCGGATCGTAATCTCACCTGGTATGGGCGATCGTGGAATAGACTGGTTACTGGCTTCATACCTGGATTGGAGCCCATGTACACCTTAATTTATGCAATAAAAGCACGTGGTTATCGGGGTCAAATGCTTTTTGGAAGTCGAAGTAGCAAACTTCGGCTGTTTCTCCTTTGTCTAACTTGCTAGTTATTTCGTCTAGAAATAGTAAGACGTTGGCCAGACAGGATCGACCCTTGAGGAATCCGTGCCGTGCTTTCGAAAAGAACTGTACACCTACCAGATACTCTGCTAGTTTTTTCTTATTATCCCCTCCATCACTCTGGAAACGATGCTGGTAGAGCTAATCAGTCGATAGTTTTCTATATTAACCGCATCCCAATTCTTATGGATGGGGGCAATCGTTGCTCTGCGCCAGTCGGTCGGCACTATGCCTGTTGACATTGACTGGTTTAACAGTGATGTTATGGGTTCAGTGATTATGATCCAGCTAGGACTGCATGGGACTGTAATATCCTCGTCCACGAAGCTAATTACAATCGTCCCTACTCGGAAGAATGCCTGGAAGTGGTCTTTTAATGCATTTGTATTACCCTGATTCGTGTCTAGGGTTGTTGTCCCTAAGCGCATAAGCAAACCTATGGCCTATCGGGATCTAGCTTTGCGATTGAACCTAGCTATAGAACTTTCTTGTCTGCGTTCTAATGTCCCTTGCCAGCTTTATTTCATACTAACTTTGGGCTGATCGCTATAGGCTGATCGCTTTATTTCTCAGTCTTTTGTACTACCGCCTGTTAGCGAATGTTTCAGGTATTGTGTATCTGTGCCAGGCGGCGTTGTGTTTTCGTAACGCCTTACGAACCTTGACTGTGAACCAGGGCTTCAGCATTTGACTTTTTAACACTGTCAACGGTGCATGTCAGTCCGTCAATCTAATTATATTTTGTTTGATGACCTGTCACATTGACTCCGTGGCCGATGTGCCATCAGTAACCCAAGTGAGTTCACGGGCGTCGATTTCACTGTAAAACCTAGCTACCCTACTTCTTGGCGCGAGATCATTCAGCATAAGGTCAAACAAGATCACGATACAATCAATTTTTCCTAGTGAATTCCCGAGAAGTAGATTTTAGACTTCGCCTTCACTCCGCGTAACCAGTAATTCTAGGGTCGATGGGATTTGACCCTCTCTGAATCTGGTTGGCCACTTTATGTGCTAACGTGCAAAAGTTTTAATAACTAGTTTTCGAATCCAGGGCCCTCGTTGGCTTTGGTTTCACAGTGTATCCCTGGGGCGTTAAAGTCGACCATGATACATTTTCGGAGGGGAGTCTTTATCAGGTATAGAAGTTTATTAATCAGCTCAACGTTTTTGAGCGGCGTCGTGCGAGGGCTTCGGTACACTCCTATCAGGTTTATTACTGCCGATGTACCCATCGTGCACGCTACCAGTTGGACATTTTCGGATTGGCAGGTGAGCAGTGTTGGCGCCTGTATAATGTGGTTTCTGATCAACAAAACTACTCCACCTCCCTGAATCCCCTTATGTTTTTCTGACCTGTAAGCAGTGAAGCTGTTACTTATACGGCCCAGTTCAATGCCTTCCGAGGGTCATCTCTGTGTTATTACGGAGAACTCGACCTCTGTAGGTAAGATGGCCAGCTTGTCCTTATTTATAATGCTGCAAGCATTCGTCATGAAGCCGCTTATATAATGTGACTTCTTCGCTTTTAAAGCAGAGCCGGACACACCCTAGAGGTCTATTCCCGAGGGCTTAGCACATTTATTCTAGCGTTGGCCGTGTGCGCTCTAGTGGTGATCCAGACGTCCGTGACCGCAAACCAGGCACGACCAGGTACAGTTTCATGTCATCCAATCACCGTTCAGGAAGCTCGGCCAATGGTACACCGGGCGAGAATGACATCCGAGTTATTACATATGATGCGTCGGCTCAAACGGTGACGTGGTTGGAGGATGGTCGTTCAACAAATCATATGGCCTATTACCTTCTATTAAATGTGATCTAACTCCATCAATAAAGAAGAAGCGTTTGCTGCTATCATTTCCTCGTGTATTTCATTGGTGTCCGCATTTGTGGTTGGAGCCAATTTTGCTCTGAGCATTACGTTACGGGTTCTCGTATTTCCACATTCAATACTATTCCGATTATCACAGCTCTCTGGCATCTGTAGTACTATTTATGAACTAAGAACGCTCTTTCGTTACGTAGAAGAACCTGCTGTTGTTCGATATGGTACCTGGTGAAGGTTCTTGTCTCTCCAACTGGCTCACGACAACTGCGGGTAGATTGTTGTGGCTGTTCTTGGTAAGATCCAATTTTGTTCGCCTGCGCTAGGACAATGAATTACTCGCCGTGTCCGTAGTAATTTTTATGTTACCTTCTAGAGCTTTCAATACTTTGTGCTCTGCCGCCAGTATGGTGTCCCGGTCCTTTTGAGAGCGGAAGTAGACTAACAACGACCTGGGAGTTGCGATACATCCTAGCGGGTCCCATTTGCCGTTGCGGTGGATTTTTCTGGTACGCACGGAATCGACAGTTCCTGCGTTTAGTATTATCGCGTCTACTAGATCACGGTTCATCTTCCTTCTAGCACATGTGTCCTCCATGAAGATCTCTGGGAAGTTTTTAATTATCAGATTTCTATTTCTTCCCATAGATAGCTCATATACTGATTTGAGCGCGTATACCTCGCGAAGTACACACTCTAATCTGTCCAGCTTATCGGAGGAGGAGCGAATGTCTCCGTAGCATTTGTGCTGCGATCTAGGTATGCCTCCTCGTGGAAGTTTCGGTTTCCCGATAGACTTTGGATCTGGAGAACTCATTACGGCGGTATGTATGCGCCCTACTACTGTTGGAGGCGTGTGCAGCTCCGGGCTTCTGTGGCTAGGTGTGCTTAAGTCAGAAGCATATGTCGGTGGGGTAATGAAGCTACGCCGTTTTACTTTTGGGGCCTCTTCCGTAGGTAATGCGTTTACCCGGAGGGCTGTTCTGGGTTTACTCATGTTATTTGTGGTACCATACTTTATGATTGTTCGCTGTTCCATAGATCTGGAAGCTCGGTGTCTGATTTCTTTACGGAGGCTGGTATTATTGTTCGGAGATTTGTGTGCGGACGTTCGATTGAGCTTCTGCGGTTGCTCGGTGATAATCGCAATAATCTTGTCGTGTATTTCGGCTTGAGAAGCCATCCAGACTTGATGCGCTGCTTCCTTGCAGTGGCTACAGATCCATTCAACTTCACTGTTTTCGCAGTAGAGGTTGTAGTGACACTCCAGTATTCCCGAACAGCTGGGATGGGCCCAACGGCTACAGGTGTCACACTGTATGCCCTTCACAACTCGTTTCCCACACGTTACCCCCAGATACGGATGGGAGACACGTGGCATTGCTAATAAACAATACGTGTAAATGGGGTTAATGATTAATAGCTAAGCAAGGTAATCTACAAACTATGGAAAAAGTTGGGAAGTTATTGTTGGGAAACTGGTAGGTAGAGTGAGGTCAACGTTTACTATTTAGGTAACGTTAAGCTGTAACCCTGCAAATAATACTGATTGATAACGTAAACCAATAAATTGGTTTGTCTTTAATTGATAACAATAGAAAAAATTACCAAAAGTAGGAAGAGTAGCGAAGAATACAACCGATTTCAAACGTACCGCCAAGTCTTGAAGTATTTCACGCGTTCGAGGTCAAGTTCTAATCAGGTCAGGTTACACTGGACTGATAGTGGCCACAGGTCAATCCAGCGTCCAGAATTCCCTCGTTGGTGTGCTCTCGATTGTGTGTACCTCTGCGATTGAGCGTTTTTTCTTTCTATCTGCAAACAAAGAGAAAGAGAGACTTTGATTCTCTTCGTGTCGGCGAGAGACTTATTGTGAAAGCGTTCCATATTACACAGAAACAATTAATGCCCCCAACATTCTACGTCAGGGAAGACCTCCAACCATCTGGCGTCCAGAGCTCTGTTAAAGGCTTAGACGTTTGCTGCTTGATCAGTTCAGACGGTAGCCTATTCTACTACCATATCGCTAAAGAAATAGGCTCGTGGGTTCAGCGTAGAACGCTGTTTCATAAGTTTGAGCTCATTTTTACGCGTTCCATGTTGGGGAACCTCAGTGAAGAGGGACCCCGGATCGGAACCCAGCAATTTTTTCTTAATCTTAAATACTTCAATGAGGTCCTCGCGCAATCTCCTCTTTTCTATTGAAAAAAGACTGAGTGCGTACAACCTCTCTTTGTATGTTTTTCCCGCATACCCTCAACCATCCGTGTTGCTAGTCGCTGGACCTTCTCCAGACAGGCAACGTCCCTTTTGAAGAAGGGAGACCAAGCCTGAACATGGTATTCCAGTTGAGGCCTTACGATGGTTTTGTTTATGGGTATAAATACTTATGCTTTCCTTCCTTTATAATCGAAATGTTTCCAATATGGTGTTCACCTGTATCACTTGGCTCAACTCCGTAGCACATGCTAACCAGGCAGCTGTGTTCACTTTCTAAACCCAATTCTTATCAGTACACGGATTCAGCTTCAAAGCAGGATTTGTGCAACAGAAGTATTTCCGGTAAATATTTGTACACGTTTTGTGAATAAATACTCCCAAATGGAGATCCTTAGTGCTCCGTTTGCGTATATTTATTTATCGATACGTATTCGTACACTTTTGGGCAATAAACCTCTCTGCATATTCGTTCGCAACATGTTGTTTCTCCCCCTACCCTTATCAGCTGGGTATTTCCCCAGACTGCCAAGTTTCAACTGTTTGTTTCAGATTCGGTTGGCTTGGGCCTGCTGAAGGCTTGGGGTCTACACCCACAATGGACAATCTGGCTCCGGCAATGGTTGTTGGTCGCGGTTGTATCCACCGTATAGACTGCATGCGTCCGCATTCCGGACCAGGCTGAGGATCACACCCCTGCCTCACCTACAAGGTGTTTTAAGGTTGGGTGTCTAGCGTGGACCCACAGACCCATCTCAAAGCGACCAACGCCTAAATAACATAAATAATTTAAGCCAGTCAATCCGTTAACGGTGAAGCCCTGAAGCCCCTTACTCCTTGCTCAAGAAGTCAGT